CCAGTCGGCACTGACTGGCGGATGGAATACGGAGGAGGCCAACTCTATGCGATCTGATGGGACGCAGGGAGGTAATTGTCTAATGTGGCTTCAACTTTGACCTGACCACTGCATATATTTTTCTTTCAATCAGGAAAAAAAGGAGTTGCAAACAATGATGCCAGGCATATTAATCAAGATGGCTACTGCCTTACAAACTGGGGAAACCCTTGATATGTGTGATCACCTGTTATCACTGAAACAGTGGCTGATTAATTAATATATAGTTTCTATTAGGAAATTCTTGTACAACTTGCAAACGATGCTATGAAATTACCAAAAACGTATTTCCTACATTTTTTGTCTACAATAAGAGTTGTACACTGATAGTTGCCTTTGCTCAGATAAGTGGTATGAGAATCCTGATACATACATTATAACTTCTATTCTCGAGATCACAGATTCCTATACTTGAAAAAAGTTCTGGAAGAATATTAGGATTCCTGTTCTAAGAGATTCTTATGTTAAACATTTGAAAATCTATTAGGATGTCAAGTAGAAAAATATTGGGGCTTGCTTCCTGAACACAACTATCTAGCATTCATACAAAAGCAAACACCTTGCTAGTTTTAGCAAAGCATCACAATAAAGTGAGATTAGTTACATCACACATTGTATTAATCTCTGAATAACTATAGAATAGAAATAGAAATAGAAACAGAAGTAGAAATAGAATAGGGTAGGATAGAATAGAATAAAATAGAATTCTTTAAGTGTGACTGGAATTTGTTTTTGGTGCATATGCGCTCAGTGTACATAAAAAGACAAAATACATTCGTCAAGAATCATAAGGCACAACACTTAATGATAGTCATAGGATACAAATAAGCAATCAGGAAACAATATCAATATTAATCGTAAGAATACAAGCAACAAAGTTACAGTCCTGCAGTCATAAGTGGAGATAGGAACAGTGAGAAGCCTAATAGTAATAGTAATAGTAATGCAGCCTTAGTGAATAGTTTGACATTGGTGAGGGAATTATTTGTTTAGCAGAGTGATGGCATTTGGGAAAAAACTTCTTGTGTCTAGTTGTCTTGGTATGCAGTGCTGTATAGCATCATTTTGAGTGTAGGAGTTGAAATAATTTATGTCCAGGATGCGAGGGGTCTGTAAATAGGCCCTCTTTTTGACTCATGCAGTATAATAAGGTCCTCAATGGAAGGCAAGTTGGTAGTAATTGTTTTTTCTGCAGTTCTAATTATCCTCGAAGTTTGTGTCTGTCTTGTTGGGTTGCAGAACCAAACCAGACAGTTATAGAGGTGCAGATAACNAAATTCTTGGACATGGTGCCAAGTGCCCCGATGACAGTGGGTATCACTGTTACATGCTTCATCCATAACCGTGTAATTTCGATGGCCAGGTCACGATATTTCATTATTTTTTCTAGTTCTTTTTCTTCAACTCTGGCATCTCCTGGAACAGCGATATCAATAAACTGTACACTTCGGCCCTCTACAGTATTATTATTATTGTTGTTGTTATTATTATTATTATTAAAAAATCTTGTGGTTCAGGCCTGCTGTGTTATATATTTTTGTGTTACACCCATCTGAACTAGCATCGGTGATGTTACCTAGTTTTGGGTAATGAAATGTCTGCAAGAAAACAAGCAAACTCAGACATCACCGAGGACTCCTCATACCCAACTTCGCTAGTCCCAAACCCATGGAGGTGGTGGGCAATGGCAAAAGAGAGTGGAAGAACCCAACTGATAAAAGATACTTGAATGCAAGGGTCAAGTCAGTGGTGGGATTCAAATAATTTAACAACCCTTCTTTACCCTAATAATTTCTTCCAACAACCAGTTCACCAAACTGCTCAGAAAGTTAACAACCGGTTCTCCCAAAGTGGTACGAACTGGCAGAATCACACCACTGGCAAGTTATTCTCTGTATTTAAAAATTCTGATTATTAAAAACATGGGGGAGCTTGTCTCCACATTTTGTTTATATTACCAGGGGTGGGGGGATTCAATAGCAAAATTACAGAGTAATTCATCATGAATCAGAAAGTAATATTCAGTTCTACAATTAGTAAAATGCTAGGTCAGTTTTTATAAAGATACAGCAAATTGAAGAAATATGTAGATGTGAGGGAAAAGCACACATCATACTAGTCAACAAGGGCATCTATCAGCAATAATGGAACCTTTAGTTTTAATATGTAGGTTACCAGGGAAGAGAAGACTAATGTAGTACATTACTACCATGTCATACAAAATAAGAAATGAAAATTAAGTATTGTGCTCTCATTCAAACCACAATTTTCTTAATAAAAGGAAATGCCAGAAAGATTTCAAACTATATTGTGCACAATTTTAAAAAATTATGGTATAAATTATGTCAGCCAAAGTTGCTATTAATGGTTTATAGCCATTCTATAACAAAGATTTATAACCAGTCATATGAAAGATGGTCTAATTGTAATTATGATTCTGTGCTTTGTAATTAATACTGTTAATTATATGGATTATATGGAGTTACATGGACCTCAATTTTCCAAAGACTGCAAACCTGGAAGGACACATCAATTACCCTGACCTGATCTTTCAGTTAGTAGAAACTTATTGGTGTCTTACTGGCACTTTCAACTTAGTATGTTCTGCTTGAACACTAATGGTGATATCTAGTATGCCTTTCCCCCACCCAATGTTTTTATGGAAGCAAGCAATTTTATAGAGTCCCTAAATCTAGGTGTGCGTAGATGAGCTGATAAGTTGTGCTAAGTTATAATTTGCTTAGCCACTGCTTCACAAACCACAATTGGCTAGTTTCACTAAGCACAAAGCAAATAGGCGTCATGTCTGCATAATGTAAAAAATATATTCAAAAATAGTATGTCCACTCTTTCCAAAGAGATGGGAAGATAAAATTTAGATTAGATTTAGATTTGTTTATTTATAGGCCGCCCTTTTCCCTGAGGGGACTCAGGGCGGCTTACAATCAAAAAAGGAAGGGGAGTGTAGGACAATACGAAAAAAGAAATGTGCACAAAGTAAATTAGACAATAAAACTCAACATTCACTCAGCATTCGGGAGGGGCGAAATAAGATTATCCCCAGGCCTGACG